ATATACATACTTATATTTAACTGAAAGCTGAACCTCAACGACAAACTAGATCAAGCAGAACAAAGAATGTTTGAAGTTCTGAATCATGGCAACACAGAGGAAGCAGCCCTCACAGAAAGCTCCAGAACATGAACCAAGGTCAGTCCGTGTGCAGCTATGGGAGGCAATAGAGTCCCCAACCACTGGCAGGGTGGGGAGGAATGAAGAACAGGTGAAATATAGAAAAAAGAAAAGCAAAGTAAGAAGTGAGACCACCCCACTATGCAGATGCTGTTCCCACCATAGGAATGAAAACTGTGCCATTCTGTGAAAAGCACAAAATGTTCCAAAAAAGAAGCTGGGGCCAGCTGCAGCTGGGCACTGACCTGAGATGCTAGGGCCCCAGTGCTAGCAGAGCCATGCAGTCCCCGCTGACACACTAGGACTTGACCCAGAGTCTGCGATAACAGGAAAGTACCTCCCTACTCCCAGTGTGGATTCCCAGACAAGGCCCATTCTGTGAAACAGAAAACCCTTCAGGGGAAGAAGCCACTGGTGCAGATGCAGTGTAGTGCTCACCCCAGTTACTGTCCTCAGCGTCAGCCCAGCTGAGTGGTTCTTCAGGTGGGACATGGTCGAGAGTCACAGAAACTAACAGGGGGGAGCCTTCCCTGTCACAGGCACCATGTGAGCCACAAATCAGGTTGAAACTTGGAGGGCTGTGGTGTGGCTAGAATTGGCAGTGTGAGATGACCCAAGGTCCACACTCGGCCCTTTGTTGCCCTGCACCAGACTTTGAGAGAACTCATGCAGAGAGAGGCTCAAGGTACTGAGTTAAGGCCAGAAGCTGCAAATGACCAGTCTTGGCTTGGCTTCTCCCTCCGTGGCACTGGCCACAGCGGTAAATGAGCGCTAGAGAAAAATGAGGAGGTTGGGGCAGCGGGGACCCACAGGCTCCAGGGGTGGATGGAAACAGCCTGCCTCTGCCGAGAGGAGCTCCTCCCTAACTCCAGATGCCACTGAAGCCAGGCTGTCATGGGTGGGCTGAGACAAGGGAGTGCATGATTCTGGAGACTGGAGAGAGAAAGATAAGAGGAGCTTACTGCAAAGTCCTGGCTGCCCTGGAATTCGGGCCGAGTTCACTGGACAAAGCAGAGCAAATGCCTCCTTACTGACCCTGAGAAGAGTAGAAGCTCGTGAATGTGGTGGGGTAAAGACACCAGCGCTTTTGCCCCTTGATTGGTAATTTGTTTTAAATGGTGGCTGGTCTTCATGTGTGCGTGAGTGTGAGTGCATGCGTGTGTATGAGTGCGTGTGAAGAGTAGCTGTTTTGGTTTTCTGCTTTTGCTCCATAATACCTCCCCTTATTTTGTCCTATAGGTCCCACACCAAGGATTACTCCATAGGAATCTCTATATTTGTTTGGCTGTTCAATCAATGAATTGATACAATGCCCTCTCCTCTTCTCTCCCCTCTAATCTGTATTTCCATTCTTTCTGAGCCCTCTATGTTTCCCTCTGCATATCTGCTTGTCTACTTTTCCTCTCTTTTTTCCTTTTTTAATATTTTATTGTTTTATTCTCTATTTTTTACTTTTCTTTCTACTTTTATCTTGTATGATTTTCTCTTTTTTCTATATACTATTTGAAATACTCAAGTATCATGAATGATTAATTTTGTGTAGCCTACAATATCATATTATTCTGTTTCTTTTTCTGGGTTAGTGAAATTGAAGAGAGCTTTTCCATCAAGTTCTTAACTGCCACATAGTCTATGGTAAGCTTTCCAATGTTGATGTTACTGGTAGTTTTCCCTCCTCTTAAAGAAGTCCTAGGGACTGAATCAATCACTTAGAAGAGGGTGACTGGGAACTCTTACATGAAGCCTTACCCACAACCCAGGAAGCCTTTCCCCCACAAAGGGAAATAGCTTACAAAAAGAATCCCACATAGCATTCTATTTAACTGCTCTACAAACTTCAACACATACACACAAATACAGAGAGAAAACAAAGCAACAAGATGCCTCCAAAAATGCATAAGTCTCAACCAGATGATCCCATGGATACTGAAGTGTATGAAATTCAAGACGAAAAATTTTAAAAATTGAGTTAAAATGAGCAATGTCTTCAAGAAGGTACAAATAAATAGCTGAGTGAATTAAAGAAGATAGCACAGGATGTGAAAGACTTTAGTGAAGAGATAGAAGCCCTGAAAAAAATCAAGCTGAAACGATGGAAATTAAAACTTCACTAAGTAAACTAAAAGAGCTCAACTGAAAGTCTAGGCAGTAAACAAGACCTAACAAAGAAAACATATTAGGAGTTGAAGAGAGGCTGAAAGTTGTAAAACATGTAGACAGGAACCAACAGTGGCAACAAAAATAAGGAACATAGAACAGACTGCAGTATTTCCTGGATAAATAGAAAATAAATTATTTAAAGCTCATTGGCATAGAAGAAGCTACTTAAATACATACTAATGGCTTAAAAAAACTATTGACTGAAAATATAGCAGACAATTTCCCCAAACTTGGAAATGAAATATCCAGGTAAAGGAGACACTATGGATGCACATCGAGGCGATACTCATAACTGAAATAAATAGGAACACAAGTAAATACCGAATCGTTTCTCTAGTGTGAAAAACTGAAAGTATAAATAAGAAGTAAAAGGTATAATAGATAATGTGAAATAGGAAGAAAAGGTGCAAAGGGGAAAGGAAAGCAGGAAGGCAGGGGAAAAGAAAGAAGGGAATGGAATTAATATGAGAGAATGATAATGAAATCAAAGTCTTTGAAGAGAGGGAGGGAGGGAGGGGTTGAAGGGAGGGCAGGGGAATGGGGAGAAAATAAGAACCAAGGTGGATTATGTAAAGGTGCAAATTCCCAACAATGAATGCCATTATATTGTATACATTAAATGTACCAATAAAATTAATTTAAAAAGAAAGAAAGAAATTTCCCCACTATACATCCTAGTCGAAATGCCAGAAATTTAGAAAAAGAAACAATATCAAAAGCTTTTAGAGAGAAATGTCAAATATTTGATAAGAGCAAACCCATCAAAATAATACCAGATTTCTCAAGAAAAATCTTAAAGGCCAGGAGGCTTGCAGTAAAGTTTCTCTAGCCCTCACAGAAAATAATTGCCACCCTAGATTACAATAGCCTGCAAAGCTATTATTCAAAATAGAGGAAGATATAAAGACTTTCCTTCGTAAGCATGAACTAAGGAAATTCATAACCACCAAACCAACATTGCAGGAAATACTTAAGGAAGTGTTAGACACAGACAAAGAAGGTATCCATGGCATAACAAATGAAAGGAGTAAATCTCATTGGGTCAAAAGATACACAAATGAACAATGGAAATGAATCACACATAAGAAAAACAACAAGACTGCAGTAATGCATACATATCTTTCAATAATGACATTTAATGTAAATGCTCTTAATTCTTCATTAAAAAGTTACATATTGCAAGACTGTGTCTAAAAATCAGCCTTACCTGTATGTTGTCTTCAAGAAACACACCTCATCTGCAGATATAACAGACAAAGTGAAAAGATAGAAAATGATATTCCATACAGCTAGAGACAGAAAGCAAGCAGGAGCATCTATACATATATTCAACAGACTAGACTTCAAACCAAAACTGATCAGAAGAGACAAAAAGTTCAATGTGTATTGGTAAAGAATTCACCAAGAAAAGATAACAGTCTATATATGCATGAATACTGATGCACCTAACTTCATAAAACAAACACTACTAGACATAAAAGGAGGGAGAAGCCCTATTATGGTTCAGGTCTAGAATGTTCCCCAAAGGACTTATGTGTTCAGAAGCACGGTTTTTGGAAGATGATTAGAACATGGAACTGTTATACCCATCGCCATCGGTGGATAATGGACTGATCCACTGACAAACTTAGAGGTAAATGCGCTGTTAGGAGGTAGGGCCATTTACAAAAATTAATTCAAAATGGATCAAATATCTAAGCCAAATACCTGCAACTACTAAAAAAGAAACATAGGAAAAATACACTGGGTTACTGATACAGGCAACAGATGTTTTGTGGATATATAGTGGGACAAATTTATTGTTATGGTATTTATATTCAAATAGGGCAGGAGAGATTATTCTTGCAAGTTACAAATTTTGTTTCTGGGAGCCATGAAGCACTCTTAAATGCATGATGTTACCTTCATAATAATAGCATTAGTTTCAACTATTGTTGTTCATGTCATACGGATATGGCAACTGAAACTCACAATGGTTAAATAACATACAGAAGATGTGTTTTTTCTATGACATGGAGTACTACTCAGCCATAAAAAATGAGAAGCTAGAGTCATTCACAGGAAAATGGATACATATTGAGGCCATATTCTTTTTTGGGGGGAGGGGTTGAGACAGGGTCTCACTATATAGTTGAGACTGACCTGGAACTCACTATGTAGCCCAGGCTGGTCTCAACCTCACAGTGATCCTCCTGCCTCAGCCTCCCAAGTGCTGGGATTACAGGCATATGCCACCATGCCCATCTGTGGCCATACTCTTAAGTGAAATAAATAAGACACATGTGTAAATACTGAATAGCTTCTCTGGTGTGAAAAACTGAAAGTGTAAATAGGATCAATATTGTATAACTGACAATGTGAAATAGTTAGAAAAGGGCTAAAGGTGTAGGGAAAGTGGGAAGGGTAGGGCAAAAGGAATAAGGGAAAAGAAAAAATATGAGAAAGTGAAAGAAATGGAAATGAAGTCTTTGTAAATAGGGAAAGGTGAAGAGGGTGAAGGGAAGGCAGGGGTATGGGGAAAAATGAGAACCAAGATTGTCATGTAAAGGTACGAGATCCGAATGATAAATGTAACTGTACTGTGTACTTAAAACCTACCAAGAAACTCAATGAGAGAAAAAAAATACTCTGATTACATCACTAAGTGCAAAGTTAGGAACTGGACACAAGTCTTTTAATTCCAAATGTAGTGTCCTTTTATTCTTTCATGATGTCTCTTAATATAAACCTGAGGTCCACTGGTTGCCTCTTTTATTCCTCCTTGGTCTGAATGCCTGGGAATCAACACTTGGAGGGGATTCAATGGCACTGCTGCAGACTATTGGAATATCAGTAGTAGGTTGTAGACTTGGCTTTTGTGAGAGTTCAAGTTAATAACAGGCACACTACCATGAAATAATTTTTTCAGTTTTTAGACTACAGAGCCTCTTTCTGAACTCTGGGGAACACAAGTAATCTTACAAAGGTGCAGCTTGCCACGGGATCAGTCTGTAACTTCTGGAGCAGCAGAACAAATACTTATGAGCTGCCCTTTCTCTTCAACTGAAAGGAGTAACTCTGCCTGATCTGTCTACTTGACAGTAATATGAACTCCAGGTTCCACTTCTGTCCTGAATCCCTACCCTCACTGTGTCAGCAGCAGCCTGAGAATGTAAAGGCTGACATTCCTCAGTATATATTCAGATGCTGAATAGTTCCCACTTTATGTTTAGAAAGTGAAAATAATGATATGTGTTGGTGACTGACCTACCCAGTGCGTCTGTAGTGTTTAAGAATGTGGAAGTGGTGGATGTCGTGGAGATTTGATTCCCAATTATGAGCAGTCAATTCTCCTAAGCACTGACTCACTTGTAAATAGCTCTAAAAATGGAAATTATCTAATTAGTTTAAAGTTCTAGACAGAAGAGAAAGGTTTGAAAGAAATGAGTCCCAGCCAGGCTTTTTAACCCAAAGCGATGATCTCACTGTGTTAAGTACCCAGAAGAATAATTAACTGGCTTTAATCGTTTTTTTCAGGTTGTTGGTCTGAATATATCTTAAGTAGAGCATTTGTTTCACATTTTTATTTATTTCTCTTTAGAGTTCTTTAAAAAATAAAATGGCTCTGATTTTAATTAACAGACCAAGAAACTTTTAAAAGACAAAAAATACCAATACATTTTTAAATTCCTAAATAAATAATCTAGTTAATATAGTTTTTAGATTAGGGGCCTGAAAATAGCTCAGATTTGTTAATAAATATATGACAAAATATTTGATTCCAAACTACTCAGTTAATTATCTGGGAAAAACAGAGAGACAATGATTACTGAAAGTGATTTTCGTTCTCCCAAATATTCATAACAAATGTATATACCTTTGCTATCTCAGTATAATCTGGAACGTGATCCTACTGGAAAAAGTTTGCTGTTGAATGAAAGAGAGCTTCAAATGAGACATGGGGAGCATTTATCTGAGAATCCCTGTGATAAACTTATGAAGTTGACAAGTATCTAGATTTAAAATCATTAGGTTAGCATTCTTTTCTTTTTATTCTCCAAGGCAAGGCTTAGATTCCAGCAAGAGGGGCCCCAGGTTAGGCTCAAGCTTTAGGAAGTACTGCTGCATAGAAAGAAATATACTAACCTGTAAGAGGTCAGTAAGGAGCTGCTCAGGTCCCAGGGAAATGCATCTCTGCATCTCTTCCTCATAAGCTAAAAGCAAAACAAAGTAACTGAATGAGTACTTGCTGTTAATGAGATGAGACAGGCACTGTGTGGAGAGCCAGGACGACTTGAGTGATGGAAACACTCAGCTAACAGGTCAGACAAACTCATCATTCTTCTTGGAAACTGGGAAAGCAATGGATTGCTGCATACTGAAGAATAATTTCCGGGTAGTAGCAAATGGCTATTTTTAAATCACTCTTTGTGTTTAAAGACATGTTTCTGAAATTATGGAGAGAGCACCAGGGTATGTGCAACAGGTGCACATAGAGGCTGAGAAAAGTTTTGGGATGAGATAAATTTTATCATTCTAAATTTATTGATTCATATATGATGAATCAGGACACTATTGCGTTAGTATCCAATCAGGATACTGATTGGAAAAGAGAATTGAAAACATATTTAACATTATAAAATATTTTAGATAAAATTTATTAAATTTTGAAATTTAAGTGTTAATGATTTTGACTTAAAATTCTAGCATATATTAAGTACAACATATTGTGACTTTAATTTTGTAGAAATTTTAAATATTTTAAACATCTTTTGAAAATGTAAAAAATCAGTATATTTGCAATATCTTGCATTTGTTTTAATTTACATTTTGAAGAATATATATTCACATTTTGTGTGCTTTGCATAAAATCATATTACTATTTTTTAATCCTTTAGGTCAGGAGAATTAATAATAATGGCTGAAATACAAAATACCTAGGAGCTGAGACAAGAAAGTAACTTATAAATAAAACATGTTAAAACTCCAAAGAAATTATCTTTTGAAACAATAAAATTAAGGTTTCTGATAAACATGAATTATATAAAATTTTAAGCAGAATATTACAAAATCATGTTTTAGTTTTTAAAATATCAATCAAGGTAGTGAGCATGAAAATTGTTCTGATTACAAAACTTGAATGAATCAAATGATTTATTTACCAAATGAAGAGCTTAATTGTTGACCACAGCAGTGAAAATAAAATAATTGCTCTATCAAATTCCCAATTCAGAAGTAACACACGAAACTCTAGCCTGCCTGTTAGAATAAGTTACATTGATGGTATCAGCAAAATGGAGTTTTAAAAAATTTATGAGCTTTATCGTGTTTATTAAAAAATTGTCTTAGAAAATTATCATTACACCCTTCTTGCAGTGTGAACATTTCCTCAAAAACCAGTGCGGTTAGAATTTCTTATGCTACTCCATTGGATGAGCACTGTGCTTTAGAAAATTATTTTGCAGCACAATTTCTTTCGCGTGGTAAAATCGAAACTTCCTTTCAAGTCTATGTTCAAAGACAGCGCATTTGCTGTCTCGTGTTTCACGCCCTACCCTTCAAAATCAGTTTTGACCAGTATATTTTTTACTGAAAGTATTTAGATTGTTGACCACACACACACACACACACACACACGCACGCACACAGAACAACATTTACACTTATGAAAGCACAATTGTGATTACTACAATGAAAACACTTGAACAAATAGCAAACAGTGGATATTTTTAAATAACGACAAGTAAATGCCGATGCAGAACACTGCCGTGATGGTTTGTGGAACATTATTTGTGGCACTGTTAGAATATTAAATGAAATAGTGAAGCATTCTAAATTTTGTAGAAATCATTTCAAAGATTCTCCAATGGCCAAACACAAAATAATACAGAAATAATATAGGGAGTAGACCACTGCTTAGTACTGTTTAGCAAATATTCTTTTTTCTTCCTCATTGAGTTTATTGGTACATTTTAGGTATACAGTACAGTTACATTCATTATTGGGATCTTGTACCTTTACATGACAGGTCTTGGTTCTCATTTTTTCCCCCTTGTCCCTGCCCTCCCTTTGCTCCCTCCTCCCTTCCCTATTTACAAATATTTTATTTCCTTTTTTTCATTTTCTTATATTTTTTTCTTTTCCCTTATTACCTTTCCCCTACTCTTCCCAATTTTCCTACACTGTTAGTCCTTTTCTTCCTATTTCACATTGTTAATTATCTCATTAGGATCTTATGTACTATTATAGTTTTTCACACCAGAGAAACTATTCAGTATTTACATATGTATGACTTATTTATTTCACTTAGGAGTATATCCTCAATATGTATCCATTTTCCTATGAATTAATCTAATTTCTCATTCTTTATGGCTGAGTAGTATTCCATTTTATAGAAAAAAAACACCTTTTTATCCCATTTCTGTTATCTTTCACCATGCACTAAACTAAAATCCAAGGGGATTAAAGATCTAAATATTAAAAAAGAAACACTAAATTTGCTGGAAGACAAGTTAGGCAGAACTCTTGAAGACACTGGCATAGGAAAAGGCTTTATGAACAAATCCTTAGTAGCATGGGAACTAGCAGAAAGAATCAACAACTGGGATCTTATCTTATTAAAAAGCTTCTGCACTGCAAAAGAAACCATCAACAGAACTAAAAGACAACCTACAATGTGGGAATAAATTTTTACCAGCTGTTACTCAAAGGACTGTTATCTACAATATATAAAAAACTCAAAATAATCAGCCCCCCCAATATAAAAACATTTCAAAAATGGGCATCTGAAATGAACAGACATTTCTCAGACAAACAAGTAAAAGCCACAAATAAATATATTTAAAAATGCTCCACATCACTGGTCATTCGAGAGATGCAGATGAAAACAACACTGAGATTCCACCTCACTCCACAAAGAATGGCTGCTATCAAGAAATCAGCCAGTAACAAATGTTGGCAGGGCTGTGGGGAGAACGAGCCCTTCTCCTTTTGTGGTGGGAGTGCAGAATGGCGCAACCACTGTGGAAATCAATATGGAGATACCTCAAAGAGCTGGGACTAGAGGTTCCATTTGACCCAGCCATAGCTCTGCTGGGTATCTTTCCACAAGAATTAAAAGAATCATACCATAGTGATACACGCGCACCTATGTTTATAGCAGCACAGTTTGTAATAGCTAAAACTTGGAAACAGCCCTTTTGCCCATCAGTAGCAAATATTCTTTGTTAACAACTGCCAATACTTACTGAGGGGATTCGCTCAATTTTTATTTTCTCTAGTAGGGTTGGCTCTGTGAATTATAGAACTAAAATCATATGTCTTTAATATGCGTCATTCACTAAGAAATAAGAAGCCATTATTCACAATTTGATTATATAAATGCACTATTTATAATAACTGTAAAATATATTTTATAGAGGTAGAAATTAGGATAAGAACTTTGTAGTATGTTTGTCATGCTTGGGAGGAAAAACATCCTGGAATATTTCAATTACCTGTTTGAAAAGACAGCATATCAATTAACTTTATTACAAATAACATTTGATCAAATGGACAGATGTTCAAACCCCCTCAAAATATAAGAAATGAGAAATGGAAACCAAAAGAATACTAAGAAGCGTCTCTCAACTGTCAGATTTTAGAATTCAAAAAAACAATAGTCAATTGCAACGCTGTGAGGACACATTCACCCTCACACATTATCAAATGAAAGGGAAATTCGTCAAACTTTTGCAAAATAAGACTTAGCAATATTTAAAGTACAAGATACATGTTTCATTTTGACCCCCTGATCCAACTACTGGGAATTTTGACCCCATGATCCAACTACTGGGAATTTTTATTGTATTTTTTAGTTTATTGGTACATTTTAGTTATACAGCACAGTTACATTTATTCTTGGGGTCTTGTACCCCTACATGACAGGTCTTGGTGCTCATTTTTCCCCTTGTCCCTGTCCTCCCTTCACCCCCTCCTGCCCTCCCCATTTACAAACACTTTATTTCCATTTTTTCATTTTCTCATATTTTTTTCCTCTCCCTTATTACCTTTCCCCCACCCTTCCCACTTTCCCTACACCTTTAGCCCTTTTCTTCCTATTTAACATTGTCAATTATCTCATAAGGATCGTATGTACTATCATAGTTTTTCACACCAGAGAAACTATTTGGTATTTACACATGTGTGACTTATTTATTTCACTTAGGAGTATATCGTCAATATGTATCCGTTTTCCTATGAATGAATCTAATTTATCATTCTTTGTGGCTGAGTAGTATTCCATTTTATAGAAAAACCACATCTTCTTTATCCAGTTGGGAATTTTTCTTGAAGATGTACCTCTGACCATCACTGAACTATATTGGAAACAACCCACTCACATTCTTACCCATAATATACTGATTGAATAAAATGTAGAATAACCACACCATAAACCCTCTTTTATTTAAAAAAATGCAGAGACCCCTAGGATATTGCTAAGCACAGTGTTGTATTAGCTAATAATGATATTTGTGATAGATTTGAATTTCTTGAAAATATATAATTTGTGATTTATCTTTATCATTCTTAGTAAATAGTGTATTGCTAATTTTGTTTTTGTAACTGTTTCCATTCTCATAAAATGATTCCCTAGTTTGCATAAACTTTTAGCTACACAAAACTTTCAATTTCTTTATCATTTTGGGCTATGATATGTTAATAAAGCTTACACTGACTTACACTTGATTTTTTTTTTTTCCAGTACCAGGGCTTAAACCCAGGGACTGTGAAGTGAGCTAGATCCCCAGCCCTTTTTTATTTTTGAGCCATACTCTCACTAAATCATCAAATTACCTAGGCTGGGCTCAAACTTGCAACCCTCCTGCCTCAGACTTCCAGAGTGCTGAATCACAGGGATGCTCACACTACTTGTACCTAATTTTTGATAAATGTCCATTAAAAACTAGTCTGAAGCATTTTCTTTTTCCAGAAGTAAGAGTTCCTAGGACTATGTGAACTTCAGAATCAGCTTTGGATTTTTAAGAGAACAGAGATTCCTGGATA